CTCCTCCACCTCGCGGTCCACCTCCGGCTGAGCGTCCATCAGCCAGCGCAGCATGCCCGCGAGGAGCTGCCTCAGCGCCAGCCTCCGCAGGCGGTCCTGCCCGCGCTCGTCCTCCTCCTCCTCCTCCTTCTCCTCCTCCTCTTCCTCATCCTCCCGATCCTTCTGCCCTCCTCGTCCTCCGCCTCCTCGTCCTCCTCCTCCTCCTCTTCTTCCTCCTCCTCTTTCTCCTCCTCCTCCAACTCTTCTCTGCTCCTCCAACTCTTCCTCTTTTTCTGTTATCTCTTTCCCCCTCCCTCTCCTCCTTTTCCCCTTCCCTCCCTCATCATCCCTCCCCCTCCTCCTCGCAGAAGGCAGTGGAGCTTCTGCGCCACCGTGTGGCCATTCCGTCCCCATCCTGCCCGCCGAGATCCGACAGCGCGAAAACAGTGCAGTGAGACACGCGAAGACATAAGAGTGCCACGTGCCTCAATTGGAGGCGCACGTCCAACTCCTCCTTCTCCAACTCTTCTTCCTCCCCCTCCCCCCTCCTCCACCTCCTCCACCTCCCCCTCCTCCTCCTCCTCCTCCTCCTCCTCCTCCTCCCCTCCTCCTCCTCCTCCTCCCTTCCTCCTCCTCCCCCTCTCCTCCTCCTCCTCCTCCTCCTCTTCCCTCCACCTCCTCCTCCTCCTCCTCCTCCTCCTCCTCCTCCTCCTCCTCCTCCTCCTCCTCATCCCCCTCCTCCCCCCGAGCGGCATGGCCAGAAAGCGCACGCCCCAGAGCTTGTACTGTACGATGTCCCAGCGTGCGCGCCGCCCTTGCGTGGCCAACGCGCACATTGTGCGTAAGTATGCTTTTGAGCGGCGCCGATGCAGCATCGCAGTGCAAAAAAACACGACCAATGCCCTGGGCCCCAACCTTTTTCGACGCGGTTCCCTCTCCTCCCTGGGGAAGCAAGATCCTCCGCGGTGGGGCAAATCGCCAGCATCACGAGCGCGTTCGCGGCGAGCTTCGGCAGGCTATGGTGGACATGCCACCCCACCCGGAGCGCCATGCTCAGCCCCTGGCAGCAGGCAGAAGGGGGGGATGAGAAAGAAGAGGAGGACAGGCTGGCCCAGACAACCGAGGCCACGCAACCAGGGAAATCGGATGAGAGGAGGACGAGGAGGAGGAGGAGGAGGTTTCCCCCCCCCCCCGAGTGGAGTAATCTTGTGGTCTGGCCTCGCCTGACGAGCTCAGACGGCACGCAGGGGCGAGGCCACCTCTTCTGCTTCCCCACAACAGAGCTTGCACAATAACTAGGCCCGAGTGGCGGTCCGGCCGGCTCGTCGCCGCCGGCCGCCGCCGTCGCCGCTGAGTGGAGATACGGTCAGTCGCCGCCGTCCGTCGCCACCACTTGCACTCATCCAGGGCTGGTCCTGTCAGCTCGTCGCCGCCCGTCCACGCCCGTCGCCGCCACTTGCACTCGTCCACTCGCACTCGTCCATCAGCATAGCCTATAGCATAGCATAGCATAGCTTAGCTTATGACAGCATGGCAGCGCATTGATTAGCTCAGCTTAGCTGGGAACAGCTGTGCTTCGCTTCACATCCCATCGCATCGACGGACACAGCATAGCATAGCATAGCATAGCATAGCACATCATAGCATACAATAACATGCATGCCAACATCAAAAGCAGGACATAGAGGGTTAGCAAAAGAAGAGAGACTAGAAGAAACATTACCGCTCGGACTTCCGCGCGGATGTCTTGGATCGGCGTCGGGGCCCCCTCCATGGCGCGCGGAGCGCGACGCGGACGACAGTGGGCGGGGTAGTACAGGGGAGGGTAGCGAATCAGCTCACGCAGCCGATTTCTCCAGCGCCTGCAGGCGCAGGAGGCGCCAGTGTATATCGAGCAAGGCGCCCTGCGGTGCGGCCGACGCCAGCCGCACAGTTGCTCGGAGCATGGCGAGTTGAGACAGATGGGGCCAAACGCACCAATTTTCAGGACTGCGTCCAGCCGTGGCGACTACAGCTACAGCCGTGACTGTCTCCCCGAAGGCCTACTACGGCTATGTCAACTCGCCCTCCTCAGGCTTTCGTATGGCCCGGAAGGAGGGGTGCTGCTCGACCTCGCGGAACTTTCGCGGCATGCCCCGGGCCGGCTGAGCCGCTCCGATACGCAGCACGCAACCCGTTGGTTGTGGACACGGAGCTCGACACGTAGACTGGAAACATAGGTCTGGCGCGATACGTTCGCCAGAACCGTGGCCAACCACGTGCCAAGCAACACGCAGCGTATTAGCACGGATGTTTGAACACGGCACGCGTTGCGCTTCACAACAGTCGTATCAGGGCAGCTAAGTGATGGACATCTCTGGTCTACGGTTGAAGACTCTCCCTCCTCCTCCTGCCTCCTCCTCCCTCCTCCTCCTCCTCCTCCTCCTCCAACCCTTCCCCCTCCCCTTTCCCCCTCCATGCGGGCGGCCTGGACAGAGCAGCCGGGGCGTCCCGATTCCTGCACTGACACTCTGCGCGCGAGCTTTACACTTTTCAACACGTGAACGCATAATACGCATACGCACACACGTACACACGTACACACACGTACACACACACACACACACGCATCGCGCATTCAATAGCAGCCTCTGCTAGACCACGGAAGACGGGCTTCCCCTCCTCGTCCCCATGCCGTGCGAGGACGACTACCACAGCGCCTCTCAAGTTCATGGGCAATTCCTGCTCTCGCTCGAGACCGTGGCTGAAAGGCCGCGCAAGTCCCCACAACAAGGGCCGGGCGTCCGAGAGGCCTCGATAATCTGCTCCGCATTCTGCAAACACCTGACGGGCAGCCAGGGCCCACTGCCCACGGGCCCTCCCCCCTCCACATCGTCGTCGCGGTCCTCTGGAATCGGGTTGGACGAAGGTTAGGAAATCCGCGGTGGCCTTCGACAATTTATGTTCATACACATTGTGTTTCGCCGATACCTCTCCCTCCTCCTCCTCCTCCTCCGCCGGAGCAGCCCCATCAAGCCCCGATCGGCACCACAATGAACAACAGCGGAAACAGCAGCAACAGCAACGTCTCCCATCAGCTGCTGGCCATCGAAAGTGGCTACGGCATCATGCAGCAAACCTCACACGTTCCCAAATCACCGACGACGTGAGTTCTCCGATGTGGGCATTTTCCCGAACATCGGGCAGTTGGACCCGTTTCGGGCCCCAATGTCTTCAAACAGGATCTACAGCGAAGAGCTTTCCCAAAGGAAAGCTCCGAGGCCATTGGGGCAGCGCATACAAGTATCAGATCGTCGGATATCTGGGTCTAATGTTCTCGCCTCCGTCAGCGGCTCAGCGAATGTCCTGCATCAGACAGTTTCTCATCGCCCGGCCTGGGCGCGCTTGAATTACCCTCGGAATTCTAGCTTTACGCTCGGATCGGACAGAAACGTCTGCCGAAGACGACACAGCCCCCGATCAGGTGCTGGCAGTTCGCGTAAAGGAATAACCGCATGCCCCAGATAGTACCCCCATTGGGGTCCACAGGGAATAATAGGTGTTTTCCCATAGATGATGATGCTGATGAAAGTGATGATGATGATGATGATGATGCTGATGCTGATGCTGATGCTGATGCTGATGATGATGCTGAACATGCTGATGAACATGATCCTGGGCGCCTCTCGAATTCCTCGTAATGATGGTGCTTGGCGCTCCTCGAGATCTGGCACCTAAAGCTTGCCTACGCTCTGGAGGTCCTTGGCGCTACTCGCCAGGAAACCTCTCTTGCGAACAGCCTCGAACAAAGCGCCCACTCGGGAAGGGCTAAGAAAGTGAGACTCTCATAGCCCTGCCCCACGTCGTGACTTGGGAAAGCTGAAATGGCAAACATCCCGTAGCACTGCCACACGATCGTGACTTGCGAAAGCTGAAATGGTGAGACCCCCACTGCCATGCCAAAGCTTGATGCTTCTGGTCAACAAAGCAAGACAGCAACTTCGATTCACAACTATCCCCCGCGATAATGAAATTCGGCCTCACCGCCCCTCTCATCCGACAAATCTGTAGCGGCCGGAGATTATAAACTATCAGTCGTGAAGGGGGGATGGTTCATTATCCGGGGGTCGGGGTTAGCATGAGAGAAGAGGCCTTGTACGATGGCTGGAGGCTCCTTAGCCGGGGTCTTCTTAAAGGGCTTCGAGGCATTCAAGACATGGTTCTTAGAAGCAGTGCGGGCTTCCAAGAAGCCCCCTGTCTTCTTATCGTCAAGGTCTTTGCTGCCGCGAACCAATATTTGGCGACGGCGCCGACAGAACAGCTGAACTTAGTGATCTTTCTTGAGGCGACGGCGCCTTTGTTGAACCACTGAGTGCTTCCGGTGCGCTATCTAGACTTGGCACGGGCCTGGCATAACAATCACTCGCCAGCGAAAACCTGTGCTTCGCATTGGCTGATTGGGCGGTGGCGTCATGTATGACCGCCGCACTGAGCCCGTGCGCCACTGCGGGCACCCTTGTTGAGTCACAGGCCTCTGCGGAGGTGGCAAAAGTCGGCGGCGCGCCCGCTGGGAAAGTGAGAAGGAGCAGGCCTTCTCAGAAGGTGGCGTGGCTTCTCACAAGCCCTCCAGTCTCCTGAGAAGTTTCCCACGTCGTCGGGGAAGCCTTAGATAAAACTTCTCGGGAAGCCCGAGGGCTTCCGAGCCTTCTGAGGCCCGCCCCGTCTCACTTCCCCCCGGGCTCGCCGCTGAAAAAGATGGTTCTGGCTCACACGGTCCTACGCTATTCGAGCCACTTTGGAGGCCCCCCGGGCCCCTTTGCGCCTCTAGAGGGCTGCCCCGGAGGCTGCCCTCTGAAGCTCCAGGAACATTCTGGGGCGCCTTGGGCCAAGGTTATTCTTCACGACCACGCAGGCCTCAGCGGCGCTACCAGGCTCCCACCATGCAGAAAGAAGGTGACGAATAGGAAGAACATGGAAGAACGACAACAGTTATAATCCCATCAGCCCTCTGGGCGGAGGTGGTTTAACGAGCTTCCCTCTTCCAACCCCTCTCGTCGCCTTCAGGGCGACCACCCTAACCCCGTGCACTACAGAGTGCCCTGTGCATCAAAGTCTGGATCATGCGCGGATGCACCACGATCACTTTGCAGATTTTTGGAACAGGGGCGGCGGGGGGGGGGGGGCATGTTGCCTGCTCTGCGCACTGCCCTCACAAACACCCCATCCTTTGCAGAAGCAACACACATGCACTTTGCACCATAATCTGGATCATGCGCGGACGCCTCGCAATCCTGTTGCCTTTTTTTGTTTTTGAGAGGGGGGCCTGCGGGGGCGGCATGTTGCCCGCCCCATTCAATACCACATCACCTCACGGCCGTCCACATCAATAGCAGTACAAAGCGCAGGTTGCGAAAACGCGGACTATGCGCGCGGGGATCAAGTGATCGAGTGTGGTTCAGGTGTTGATTGAGGTGGACATACATCGAATTACATGAATACGATCGAGCTATGACTGTGACTAGCACTGGTCTGGACGTGCGTAATAATCGGTGGCCTCGGAAATAGTATTATCAATGTCGGACTGGGACTATGACTGTAACTGGTTTTGGTCTTGGTTCGGGTGAGGTTGGAATATTATTAATTCGGGACTATGACTATGGCTGTGACCAGTTATGGTTTTGGTCAAAGTGGAGTCACATTATTCGAATGCTATTCGAATAGTGCGGCGAAACCAGAACCATGACCAGGACCAGCCCTGGTCACAAATGTGGTTCGGGCTGCAATAATAATAATAATATTATTATATGTGAACGCCAATCCACACGAACCAGAACCGTGACCAGAACCAGTCCTGGTCACAGTGGCGGTTCGGGTTGCAATACTATTATTTCAATATGATTAACGCCAATGAACCACAACCAAAACCATGACCAGAAATGGTCCTTGCCACAAGTGTGGTCCGGGTTGCATTAATGTTATTGTAATAGAATTCATGCCAATCCCCCCGAACCACATCGGTGACTTGGACCAATCCTGGTCACAATTGCGGTCCGGGTGGCATTCACATTATCATTACATTATTACTACTGCCAATCTATCCGGACCAGAACCGTGACCAGAAGTGGTCCTGGTCACAATTGTGGTTCGGCTTGCGTTAATATTGTAATAATATGGCGAATACCAATCCACCCGCACCAGAACCTTGACCAGGAACAGTCCTGGCCATAGTTGTGGTCTGGTTTGCGCTAACATTATTCATGCCAATCCACCCGAACCAGAACCATGAGCAGATCCAGTCCTGGTCACAGTTGTGGATCGGGTTGCGTTGATACTATGATATAGTGATTGATGCAAACCACCCGAACCAGAACCGTGACCAGGACCAGTCCTGGTCACAATTGCCGTTCGGGTTGTAGTGACATTATTCGAATACCACTAATGCCAAATATTAGTAAGATGTCATCAATGCCAATCCACCCGAACCAGAAACGTGACTGACCAGGAACAGTCCTTGTCACAGTAGCGGCTCGGGCTGCATTGATACTATTATAATAATACGAATGACAAACCACCCGAACCAGAACCGAAACCAGGACCTCACCCACGCAGAGGGCGACGCGCTGCAGAGGGGCGCGTCTAGCACCAAGGCCTCATTCAAATTCAACCGGGGCACATCTAGCACCGAGGGGCACGTTCAGCGCCGACCTCTCCCCAAGTTACTTGGGGAGAGGTTTCGCCCAGCAGAGGGAGATGCCCAGGGGAGGTGCGCGTCTAGCACCAAAGACTCTTCTTTAATCAACTTGGGGCGGTGCCTCGCCCAGCAGAGGGCGATGCACAGCAAAAGGGCACGTCTAGCACCACAGATTTTGCTTCAATCAACTTGGGGAGGGGCCTCGCCCAGCAGCGAACGATGCACAGCAAAGGGGCACGTCTAGCACCAATGATTTTTTTCAAATCAACTTGGGGAGGGGCCTCGCCCAGCAAAGGGCGGCGATGCACAGCAACGGGGCGCGTCTAGCACCGAGGACTCCTGTTAAATCAACCTGGGGAGGGGCCTCGCCCAGAAGAGAGCGATGCACAGCAACGGGGCACCTCTAGCACGACAGATTTTGTTTCAATCAACTTGGGGCGGGGCCTCGCCCAGCAGAGAGCGATGCACAGCAACGGGGTGCCTCTAGCACCAGGAATCTCCTTTTAATCAACTTGGGGAGGGGCCTCGCCCAGCAGAGGGCGATGCACAGCAAAGGGGCAACGCTTGCACCAAAGACTCTTCTTTAATCAACTTGGGGCGGTGCCTCGCCCAGCAGAGGGCGATGCACAGCAAAATGGCACGTCTAGCACCACATATTTTGCTTCAATCAACGTGGGGAGGGGCCTCGCCCAGCAGCGAACGATGCACAGCAAAGGGGCACCTCTAGCACAAAAGACTCTTTTATTATCAACTTGGGGCGGCGCCTCGCCCAGCAGAGGGCGATGCACAGCAAAGGGGCACCTCTTGCACAGCAGTGCGGCGGCGGCAGCGACAGCCGCGCTGGTCGCGGAGCACCCGAAACAACCCCTCGGCATGCGTCTCGGGACCCCAGCCCGCGCTCGGGGCACAAGTGATTTGAAAGGATTTCCTTCCCGTCGTCGTCGTCGTCGTTCTCCTCCTCATCCTGCTCCTGCACCCCGTCCCCCTCGAGGGGGAATTTGCCTTGGTATTGTTTTGCCAAAGGTTTCCGAACCAACTACGGCGCCCCCCCGAGGCTCCCAAGAGAGGGGGAGCCCGCTTCGTGCTGGGTGCTGTGTTGGCCAAGGGGCAGTTGAGTATTGGACGTTGTGTTGGAGGCAGGGGGGGGAGTAGA